TACCATAACACATCCTCTGAAATACTGGCTCACAGAATCCACTCTTGCCTCTCCCCCAAACCATTCTCCAAAATGCATTCCAAGTATTTTTTAAATTTAACTGAAAATCTGATCACATCAAGTGTCTTCATAAACACATCAATGGCTTCTCCTTAAGATAAAGACAAAAGTCCTTAACATGGCCTATACAACTCTACAACATTTTTCCATGCTTATTTCTCAGCTAGCTACAGTATTTTCCTCCATCCCTATGCTCCAGTCACAATTCCTTCAATGTGTCCATGTTTTATCTCACCTCAGAGCTTGCCACATGCAGTTTCTTCTGACTCACATGCCCTTCCTTGGAAAGACTGCCTGTCTTTTGATTAGCTAATTTTCTATAATACTGCAGACCTCAACTCAAATATCTCGAGTCCTTCAACTACCAGACCAGATCAGCTCTCTCACTATCCATTTACATAGCATCCAGGATTTTTATTTCATGGCACTTACCATGTTTTGAAATTAATACTCTCTGAATTGTTTATCACCTGTACCTAGAATATAGTGTATGATGTTTATTGGGGGGCTCAATATTTTGAGTGGATGAGTAAATATATTACAGATAGCTAATTATTTAAGATTTCATGTTCACATTATTGCTAAAAATGTAGATGAAGTAAAAGTAGATTGAAATAGGAGGATATAAACATGTTGGTGCTCTTTACATCACATACATGGATTATGTTTTTGTTTGTTTGTTTTTAGATGAAGTCTTGCTCTGTCAACCAGGCTGGAGTGCAGTGGCCTGATCTTGGCTCACTGCAACCTCTGCCTCCCAGGTTCAAGCAATACTCCTCCCTCAGCCTCCTGAATAGCTGGGATTACAGGCGTCCATCACCAAGCCCAGCTAATTTTTGTGTTTTTAGTAGAGACAGGGTTTCACCATGTTGGCCAGGTTGGTCTGAACGGCTGACCTCAGGTGATCCGCTCGCCTCGGCCTCCCAAAGTGCTGGGATTACAGGCGTGAGCCACCATGCCCGGCCCATGGCATATGTTATCAGTAATATGTAAGTATGGCTTCAGTCAAGGCAAGGAAGTTGAAAGTAACAATAAAAAAAAAAAGTCATCAGGATCCAAAGCTGTGGGAAAAACTGAACTTCTGCTTCCTGGGTTCAAGCAATTCTCCTGCCTCGGCCTCCTGGGTAGCTGGGATTACAGCTGCCTGCCCCCACCCCCAGCTAATTTTTGTATTTTTAGTAGAGACGGGGTTTCACCATGTTGGTCAGACTGGTCTCAAACTCCTGACCTCAGGTGATCCACCTGCCTCAGCCTCCCAAAGTGCTGGGATTACAGGCATGAGATACTTTTAGAAAATGTTTTCATCTAACTCAATACCTCACTATCCCTCCTGATATTCTATCTATAATAGCAACAGTTGTGAAATGCACTAGATTCTAACATTAACACTAGATCATTAAAAGTAGAGCAGAAGAGAGTCTGGATACAGAAATTTCACAAATAATTATTGGCTGCCATCAACATATGTAACTCAAGCATAAAGTTGTTTCAGCAGTAGCTTAAGTTTGGTTACTAATGCAACACCTCTTTGCATGCAATGGCCTATTAAATCATCTTCAACTTTAAAAGGTTCCCTTTGTTTTTAAACGCTTATAATAAACAAATATATATCAATACCTTGGCAGAATTCATTAACTTAATAACTTCAATATGTTGTTCATACAAAAATTTCTGGCAAATAAGAACTGTACATTACTGATGTGACAACGTACACAACCCAATGTTGACATAATTTTTCAAAATGGGATCTCTGCTGTAACTGAACTATATATAATAACTTTATTCAAGAATGAATTTCAATGATAGGACAAAACTTGATAAAATGAAGAAATAAACTATTCTATGCCAGAGTTCAGTAAACCCCGTGTATACACCTGAAAAAGCTCAAACTTGCCTAGCACATAGAGAGTCCGAATTCAGTTGGGTTTGTGTGAAAGGGGTAGGCTGAGCCCTAAAAAAGAAGTGGATAACCCATATTGGCAGACTTCCTTATTTTATTTACTTTTTTCTGCTTCAGCCTCCTGAGTACCTGGGACTACAGGCATGTGCCACCACGCCCAGCTAATTTTGTTTGTTTTTAGTAGAGACAGGGTTTCACCATATTGGCCAGGCTGGTCTTGAACTCCTGACCTTGTGATCTGCCCTCCTCGGCCTCCCAAAGTGCTGGGATTACAGGTGTGAGCCACCGCGCCTGACTGACTTCCTTATTTTAAATGCCATTTCCCACTAAAAATAAAACCAGCAATTCTTTGAAAAATAGTTAATATTATATATAGGACTGGAAGTGTATAAGATAAAACTGGAATAGATTGTCATATCAGAAATCAAAGATTTTGTCAAAGACTAATAGTTCCATGTCAAAAAGATTCAGAAATCAATTTGCAGAGGCTCCCACTGGCCAAAGACAGAGCTTGATCATCAACAGGAGTAATAACTATAATGGGTTGAAACACAACAATTATGTTTAAATCTACAGGTTTATAGTAATGTTAAAATCATTAGTCACCTTTGAAAGATGCTAGAGACTCAACTCATTATTTTGAAAATTTACAAATGCATTTCAAAATCTAGTGGCTTATCCTGTTTTTCTTACATATGCCTGAAGGCAATCAAGTAGATAATGAAGAGAACTTTCTATATAGAAATATTCCAGGCCAGGTACAGTGGCTTATGTCTGTAATCCCAACACTTTGGGAGGCTGAAGCAGGAGGATTACTTGAGCCCAGGAGTTTGAGACCAGCCTGCACAAAAAAGCAAGACCCTCGTCTCTACAAAAAATTTAAAAATTAGCCAGGTGGTGTGTGCCTGTAGTACTAGCTATTGGGGAAGCTGAGGTGGGAGAATCACTTGATCCTGGGAGTTGCAAGTTACAGTGAGCTATGATCACACCACTGCACTCCAGCCTGGGTGACTGCACGAGACTCTGTCTCAAATAATAATAAATAAATAAATAGAAAATTTAAAAAGACATTCCAGCTCGTAAATGAAGGGATAGTAAAATTAGAATATCACCATTTTACCACCCCCAAGAACATAATAAGCTATGAAATAATTATCCATGGCTGCTAGAATCATAGAAAGAGACAACCATATTATGTGTCTCTTGGTGAAAGTACATAACACCACTTATTAAATACTTTTGCCCAAATAGCAAACCTGAATCACATACAGACTCTAGGCCTAAATAATAAAATATGAGAAATACAAATGACAAAGAAAAATGTTAAGTGTCATTATAAAGAAGCATTTAGTAAAATACAAGCTTTAGAGAACTACAGATAAAGCTGATTTCCGCAATAGATAAATTGAAAGAAAAAAAAAAAGGAAAAAAGGGGGAAACTGTAGATTAAAGGAAACAAGAGGCCAGCTGCAGTGGTTCACGCTTGTAATCCAGCACTTTGGGAGGCTGAGGTGAAAGAACTGTGTGAGCCCAGGAGTTCGAGACCAGCCTGGGCCAGATGGCAAGACTTCATCTCTACAAAAAAGTAAAAATATTAGCCAGTCATGGTGGCCAACACCTGTAGTCCCAGATACTCTGGAGGCTGAGGCAGGAGGATCCCTTAAGCCCAGCAGTTCGAGGCAGCAGTGACCCTTGCTCACATTACTGCACTCCAGCCTGGTCGACAAGGTAAAATCTGTCCCTTATTAAGAAAAAGAGACAGAGAGATACAAGAGACTGGTAGCTATTTCAACCAATTTCAATGTCCTAGCCTTATTTTAATCCTTATTCAAATGAATAAATTATTAATAACAGTTTTAAAAGAAATGAAAAGTAAAATGTGTAAAAATTAAGATGCTGTTGTTATGGGTAAATTCTGTCACCTCAAAATTCTTATGTTAAAGTCCTAACTCCAATACCTCACAATTTGACTCTATTTGGAAATAGAGCCCTTAAAGTGACTAAGTTAAATAAGGTCACTGGGGTGGGCCCTAATCCAATCTGACTGGTGTCCTCAAAAGAGGAGGAAATTTGGACACACAGAAGAGATCCGGGGGCATGTGTGCACAGAGGGATGACTATGTGAAGAGGCAGTAGCAGGATGGCCATCTGCAAGTCACGAAGAGAGGCCTCAGGAGAAGTTAAAACTCTGAGAAAATAAATATTTGTTGTTTAAGCTACTCAGTCTGTGGTATTTTGTTATGGCAGCCCTAGCAAACTAATACAGATGCTAAAATGATGAACAAGTCCACCATTTAATTAATCTTGAAAAACACATGGGAATACAGAAGTGGATATACTGTGGATCATGGGGCAATAAATTCCAACTCATAAAATGGAGAAAATCAAACCTCCTGATGGGAAGGTGTGTCATAAAAAATTTGAAAAAGCCCCAAAAGAGACTATGAATTTTCTTCTCTTCTCACTTATAAACACTATCTTAGACCTAACCATATGCAAAAGTGTGCATAAATGAGGGCACGGTTAGGTTGCTGTTTCTCTTGGCCAGTCAACTAGTTCTATTCATACATTTTTTTTCTAGTCAATGAAAGGGACACTTTATTAAGGCTCTAGGGCCATGGGGCCTGGGCAGGAGGCTGCCCTCCGAGGAAGGAAGAGCTTTATTTGACCTTCTTGGGGCACAGGCTGTTGGTGTGGCCACACTTCTTGCGGCAGTTGACAGCACAGGGGTGCAGGCGAGCATAGCACTTGTGGCAGATCATCTTGTTGCAGCTGTATTTCTAGGTGAGCTGGCAGAGGGAAGACTCAGTAATGCCACCTTGCAGGTGCAGAACCAGGTGCACGGTGGACTGTTTTTGGATGTTGTAGTCTGAGAGAGTGCAGCCATCCTCCAGCTGCTTGCCAGCAAATATCAGACGCTGCTGGTCAGGTGGGATACCCTCTTTGTCTTGAATTTTGGCTTTGAAATTCTCAGTGGTGTAACTGGGCTCGACCTCAAGGATGATGGTCTTGCCCGTGAGGGTCTCCACAAAGAGCTGCATATCTGCTTCTGCAGCTCAGCCACCTTGTTGAGGAAAAAGAGGATGGCGGATCTATTCATACTTTTATAGCAAGGTCATATACAGACAATTTCACCAACTAGAATATAAAAATATTATTACTAGTGATCTGAGTTATGTGCAACATTGGAATGGATACTAATCATTCCCTTCCACTGACCTCCAAAATTCCATGCCAATTTGCCATTAACTTTCTCTTTCTTCTCATTATAAATTATGCACCTTATTAAAAGACATAACTCTGACAATTCCAAGTTTCAGCTGCCCACTATGTTCCCATCCACTTCACCTTTTAAATGTGTTTAAAGCATTAACAACAGATTGTGTTTCACCCTAGAGACAGCTGGGTTTCAAAGAGAGGAAGAGAGGTAGAATGTTTCATAATCTCACTCTATTGTCCAAGACAAATGTGCTATTGTATTACATGTGAAATGTCATCTTTGAAGTCTGTTAAGGGTGTGCTGTGAAGTGAGCCATCTGGAAAACACAGTGTAGACTGAAAAATAATTATAAGCCAGTTTATTACATTTTTCCAGTTAAGCCTACCATGACAGCTGCTAAAAACACACTATGTAGTATAAAGGATAAAAAGACTCTGAAGTTGCACAAGTTATACCCACCTCCAACGATGATTAGCTAGTATACAAGTCACTCAACTTCTCTGATCCTTTAGGGTTGTCTGTAAAATTGAAATATGGACACATGCCACAGAGGAGTTCTATGAGTGTTAAATGAAACAACAGTTGTAAAGCACTTGGTACAGAGTACACAATAAGTTTGATTTCTCTTCTCTTCTTCTAAATATAGACTATATAATATTCTTTATACAGAGAATATTAGATAAAATCCAATCATATTTGAAAACCAGGTTGAGCAGGTTGGTTTTTCAAAGAAATCTATTGAGCTCCCATAATGTTCTTTCTACTTGATGGGAGAAAAGGGGCTTTGGAAGATCAAGTGTGAAGCTTTAGAATTCTGTCTGGAGCTGGTCAGGACCACCCAGGCATGAGTATAAGCAAAGCGCTGTCCGTGGTGCTAGTAAGCGCGAATGCCCCCGGCAACATTCTCTCTACCCAAGGTTGTTTTGCATTCAGTCAACTTGCTTCGCAAAGCTCACACGTCTGCTTCGTGGAAGATTCTCAGTCATTCTACTTACTCATTGATTCTTTCCCTATCACCATTCTTTATGTCCCCCTCAAAGAAAAACATCATTTTCCCTTTCCTTATCAACTCCAAACAGTTTTCATTTTTCAGAGACATTTACTACCTAAGAAAATGGCTCAGGAATTGGCTCAGACTATCTTGTCCTAACTTTTTTGATAGGTTTCAGAGAAACTCAAAGGTCAAAGCAAAAGCGTAAGAGTAAAAGGTAAAGAAATTAAGAAACCGAAGACTAGGAAATGGTGGTTGGATGGGAAAGAGAAAGAAGTTGTTACTAATGCTACCCGGTTCCCTTCGCTGTCCAGGTGGATTTCAGCTCTGTTGAGGCTCTGTCAGTAGATTTTTCAGCCCTAACCACCACTTCCATGGGCCCCATTGTCTTTAAAATAAAGAGCTTGTTAAAATTCTACAGGGATTTGGGGTAATGAGGAGTCAGAGCTAAGGTTTCCAAAAAAAAAAAATGTGAAGACTCTCATTTTGCAATAAGCAAGCAATTGCCCTCCTGTTAAGACTTTTTCTTCCTCAGCACTCCGAACCAAAATGATTCTGTAAATAAAAATTGTTCACTTTTAGGAGAGGTCCACTTATGTAGTTCCTCACCAAAGTTTTTAGGCAACAAATCCATAACTTGTGGTTCTCTTCCTATCCAATGTAGCATCCGCTGAAATGTTTTAAATATTTAAAGTAATAAATGTTGATTCAAACTCACCTAGGAAGATTAGAAAGAAAATAAAAGCACTTGGCATTTAAATCTTCAGAAGAGAATTTAATGACAGGTTCAGCCTGTTTAATGACAAGCCCAGCACCACACCCCTCTCTTATGTTTCATTATTACTGCATAAATTTCCTTTATTACTCATGATAAATAAAAATAAAATACTTGACAAAGTGGGTTTAAATAGGTAAGAGTGCAAAGATTTACTGTGCAAATATGATGAAACTGGGATCTCAGATTCTTAAAGCACAATTTTTTTTGTCTTGTGTGCTAGGTTGCCACTCTCAATCTCGAACTAGTTTTTTTTTTTTTCTCTCTCTCTCTCTCTCTCTTTTAAGGGTTGTATCCATAGTGCAAACATGGAAAGAATTAAAAAGCACATGCAAAACATGATTCTCGGGATTTTTCTCTATTTTTATGGTTGACAAATTCAAATAGAAAGACACATCCAAGAGAAAACCGCTAAGGTTGACACAAGATACGAAACTTGTGAAGTTCAAGTACTGCCTAGGGATGAATTTAACTTGTATGACAGGTGCAGAGCTGTCGCTCTCAGACATCTTAAGAAAGACAGAGTTATTTTCAATGCCTTTCTCTCGGCCACAAGGGAGCCACTAACGTCTCCACAGTGAAACCAACTGGCATAAGGCTGAAGGAACAGAAATCCTCTGCTCCGCCTACTGGGGATTAGGAGCTGAGGGTAGTGGGTCAACATTCCCAAAATATTAGCCTTGGCTTTACCGGACATCCAGCGAGCAGTCCAGCCGGCATTCCTGGCGGCTCCCGGCCCAGTCTCTGGCGCATGCGTCTCAGCACCTTTGGGCAGGCTTCCCCTCCCTCGTGACGCGTCGGCCGGGGCCTGGCCTCCCGGCGAGCACAGCGGACAGGGGGCGGAGCCTAAGGGGGTGGGGAGAGGCCGGCCCCTTGGCCCAGCTGAAAACGGAATTCTTTGCCGGCTGGCTCCCCACTCTGCCAGAGCGAGGCGGGGTAGTGAGGACTCCGCGACGCGTCCGCACCCTGCGGCCAGAGCCGCTTTGAGCTCGGCTGCGGCCGCACTAGGCGCTTTTCCCCAGAAGCAATCCAGGAGCGCCCGCTAGTTCTTGAGCGCCAGGAAAAGCGCGGAGCTAACTACCGGCGGCTCGACCATTGCACGGGGCCCCAAGCCGCAGAAGGACGGCGGGAGGGTAATGAAGCTGAGCCCAGCTCTTCTAGGAAGGAGAGAGTGCGCCGGAGCAGCGTGGGAAAGAAGGGAGGAGTGTCGTTAAGTTTACGGCCAACGGTGGATTATCCGGGCCTCTGCGCGTCTGGGGACTGCGGAATGCGCGAGGAGAACAAGGGCATGCCCAGTGGAGGCGGCAGCGATGAGGGCCTGACCAGCGCCGCGGCGCGGGGACTAGTGGAGAAGGTGCGACAGCTCCTGGAAGCCGGCGCGGATCCCAACGGAGTCAACCGCTTCGGGAGGCGCGCGATCCAGGTAGCTGGGGCCCCAGGGCCTCGCCGGCAGGGGGCGCGCGAACGCGGGGCGCGGCCTCGGCGAGTCGGGGCTGGAATCAAGATCGCCGATGTAGATTTGTATAGCAGTCTCCCTTGGCCGGAGGTGTGCAGCCCAGGCGTAAAACAGGCTTTTATCCAGCAAAAATTCTAAAGAGAGACATTGAAAAATCCACTGTTTAAGCTTTTTTAGTGGTTTTTGTTCTGCCATCTCATCATCAGAGATGCAAGGAATAGATTGAATTGGGGAGAAAAGGCGAAAAGGAAAGGTTATTTAGGGAGGACGATTATCTTGTCTGCTTTCAACGATAAAGATAAGTAAACTATAAGTTACACATTCTGGATTGGATTTAAGGAATTCTACAAAATCATAGTACATGGAAAAAAATCAGTGTAAACTTTTAAGCTACTATATGAAATCTGTTGTATTGTTTTCTCATAGAGGCTAATTGAATTCAAAGGAATGAAACCGGAATCCTCAGCCACAGCACTTAGTTCCTTTTATGTTAGCAGTGTCTTATGAGTGATGCATAAGAGAAAAAATATATAGTTCTATAGGTTTCTCATTCTTTAATTATCATCCTCAGTGCCCAGATTACAAAAATATTCCTGCAGCAACTGTTAGGTCCTTTTTGAATGGCAAAGGATCTTCATAAATAATGCATCCTTATCTTCATCGTTAAAATACACTTACTCAATGTTTACGAATCCTGCTTTAATTAGTACTGATATTTTTAATTTATTTTACAATCTAGGACAATGCTTTTGTACTTTACTGTTGGCTATTGGCCATATTCAGTATTCACCTCACTATCACCCTCCAAAACTAAGCTAATATTAAGGGATCTTGTTAATAGTGTAGATTTTAAAGAAGTGTTCATTTCTTTTGAATTCTTAGAATAGTGGTATAACAAATAAGGGATTTTTAAAGGAGCAAAACTATTGTAAAGTGCTTCTTAAAAACTTAAAATTCTATTAATAATTATAAAAACAAGTTATATATGTAATTCACCATTTTCTGAAATATTAAGAACAGCTATTTTCCCCTCTTTTTTCTATGTAAACTATCCTTACATCACTAGTAGATATAACTTATGGTTTCCAAGAGATGAAATGAACATTTCTAATATTAATGAAACAAGCTGACAAAACATGAGAAGTATACTGCCTTTCAATTAAATGGTATATTTTAAAGTACATAAATCCATAACAAATAACTCAATTTTAGACATTTGTTACCAAAAATTGTCTTATAATTAACTTAAAATATGACAGCAAATGTTTTCATAATGTTCATGTTCACAAAGGGCTGCTACAGGATTACTCCTGCAAAACATCATTTTTTTCTAAGTTATGCATCATCCTGATTGCTAACATCCAAGCTTTATTTATTTATTTATTTATTTATTTATTTATTTATTTATTTGAGACGAGGCCTCACTTTGTCAGCCAGGCTGGAGTGCACTGGTGTGATCTCAGCTCACTGCAACCTCTGCTTTCAGGGTGCAAGTGATTCTCCTGCCTCAGCCTCCTGAGTTGCTGGGACTTCAGGCACGCCCCACCATGCCCAGCTTATTTATTTATTTATTTATTGTAGTACAGACGGGATTTCACCATATTGGCCAGGCTGGTCTCGAACTCCTGACCTCAGGTGATCTGCCCACTTTGGCCTCCCAAAGTGCTGGAATTACAAGCATAAGCCACTGTGCCTGGCCCAAGCTCTTTTTATATAGCAAAATATTTACTGTTTAACGTTTTTAAATCTTAGCTATTATAAAATCCTGTAGTATATATAGTTAGTTTTATGTTACATTAAAAATATTACACTCTAAAATAAAAATGATGAACTGTTTATTAAGGAAAAATCATTTATTCTTGTAGTTTTATAAGATTTTGCATGATTTAATTTACTTTTCCCTTCTAATCTCCAACTTTGGCTCAAATTATCACAGTACAATCCAGTTATGAGCACAGACACATGACAAACAAAAGCCTTCCACACGGGATTTGCTATGAGAACTAAATAAATATTTAAAAGAAAGGAAGAAAAAAGAAACTTAATTGTTTATTTTCTCCCCTAAACCATTACTCCCAACTTCTAACAAACAGTAGTTGAGTACTTAATAAACATTTTTGGACCTGGATTATGGAGGAGGGGTCAGGAAGGCAAATAATTTAAAACTTTAAAAGCCAAATAAATTTAACTCTGCCCATAAATCACTTAACAAAATAGATTCCCATGTTCTGATGGAAATCAAGATTTGTTTTTCCACAATGACGATCATCACTTTACCATCAACTTTCTTGTCTCTACACGTTTAGAGAATAAAATGGCATTTAATTTGTACTGAGTGGAGTATAACCTGAAGGTGGGGTGGGAAAGCGGATTGCATCAGCAAATGAAGAAACACCAGACACCAGAGACCTGAACACCTCTGCACTGGGTGAATACTTCACAAATAGGTGTTTCTTTAAATGGCTCCACCTGCCTTGCCCCGGCCGGCATCTCCCATACCTGCCCCCACCCTGGCTCTGACCACTCTGCTCTCTCTGGCAGGTCATGATGATGGGCAGCGCCCGCGTGGCGGAGCTGCTGCTGCTCCACGGCGCAGAGCCCAACTGCGCTGACCCCGCCACTCTCACCCGACCGGTGCATGACGCTGCCCGGGAGGGCTTCCTGGACACGCTGGTGGTGCTGCACCGGGCTGGGGCGCGGCTGGACGTGCGCGATGCCTGGGGTCGTCTGCCCGTGGACCTGGCCGAGGAGCGGGGCCACCGTGACGTTGCAGAGTACCTGCGCGCGGCCACGGGGGACTGACGCCAGGTTCCCCAGCCGCCCGGTTCCCCAGCTGCCCACAATGACTTTATTTTCTTCCCCAATTTCCCACCCCCACCCACCTAATTCGATGAAGGCTGCCAACGAGGAGTGGCGGAAAGCCTGTAAGCCTACAAGCCTGTCTCAGACTCGCAGGAAGGAGGAGCCGACCGGGAATAACCTTCCATACATTTTTTTCTTTGTCTGGATCTGGCCCTCGATACTCACCATGAAGCCAAACACAGAGACGCAGATTTCCAGGGATATTTAGGAGTGTGTGACGTTCCAGAGGTTTTTCTGAGGGAAAGTGTATATGAAATCCTTGACCAGCCCTGGTGGCTACGGAAGAATCTTCCGATGGAATGACTCCAGCGCCCAGCGGGAGAAGGCAGTGATTGGCATTTGGGTGGGGGCAGTCGATGCGTTCACTCCACTGTCTGCTGAGGAGTTAAGGCGAACCCACAAGTTAGGCCCTAGAGGCAAAAAGGAAAACCTGAAGACTGAGGACAAAGTGGACGAGGGCAGAGGTGGGCTTCAGTAAGTGCCCGGCGGCGCTTTAGTTTGTGTGCATGGCAAGTAACACGCGAAACGACACTCTCTGGAAGCCCTGGAGACCCGCGCCCAACTCCACCAGATAGTAGAGGGGTAAGAGAGGATGTGCAAGCCACGACAGATCCTAAAATCCCTGGATCACGACGCCACAGAGCACCTTTGCAGAGGGTGCTGGCCTTTGCTCTAACTACACTGAGAGATTCCCGCGGCGTTCCGGAGGCAGACTCCACAGGATGAGGTGGTGGAATGGAGTGAAAGCAATTTTAACGGTTAACTGTAACGTTTTCTTTCATACACACACACACACACACACACACACACACACACACACATGCTAGGATGCGGAAATCGCCTTGTGACTTGCTGCTTTTTGATTTTGTGATATTTTGTACTTTTTAGTTGTTCAGCAACTGTCTTATTTAATGGGGAGATTTTAAGTAACATTATAACTGGTGGCTCTCAGTTAAAATGTGAGGAAGAACTACAGCTCTTAAATGTAGCAATGGCGCTGTAGCAAACTCAGTGCAAATGTCTAGATTGCTTTCTTCTTAACCTATTTATTTCTTTGTTAAATTTTTCTGATTGTTTCCTTTATAGAGTGTCTCAGGGTGCAGAGGTCAGACTAAGAAATATCCCAAATGTCTTTTAGAAGATAGATGCACGTATGCAGTAAATTGTCTTGGCATATTTCCCAAAAGATTGCTGAAAAAATAGATTGACTATAAAAATTTGAAAATATGTGATGGCTCATGGGATGTCCTACTATCTCCTGAACAATCTAAAGGTGCACTGCTTTGGGATTTAATTTCCAGGGTTGCTTTATCATTATATCATTGGAACTGGTACTTCACTGCTTTCATAAAGAATTAACAGAGATTGAACTCCAAGAGGTGGGTAATTTGGTTTAAAAATATATGTTCATGGATTTACCACTAACTCCTGAGA